AATTATTAGGCACACTAAATAAAAAGCAAAGATTGAAACCCAGTATTGATGTGAGCTGACCTTATGTCTCCCAGGAAGAAGCTGGCCCAACGTCTGCAGGATGCAGAGGAACAGGTTGAGGCTGTCAATGCCAAATGTGCCTCCCTGGAAAAGACAAAGCAGAGGCTGCAGAATGAAGTGGAGGACCTGATGATTGATGTGGAGAGATCCAATGCTGCCTGTGCTGCTCTGGATAAGAAGCAGAAGAACTTTGACAAGGTCTTTTGGCCTCCAGCACCAGCACTCCTGGCCAGAGCATGCCCCTGTGATGGCCACAGCCCGACTCACACCCCGTTTCTCTTCAGATCCTGGCAGAATGGAAGCAGAAGTATGAGGAAACACAGGCTGAGCTGGAGGCCTCGCAGAAGGAGTCGCGCTCTCTGAGCACGGAGCTGTTCAAGATGAAGAATGCCTATGAGGAGTCCTTGGACCACCTGGAAACAATGAAGCGGGAGAACAAGAACTTGCAGCGTAAGTCCCTGGCCCTCTGCTCCCCTCACTGGCCTTTCTTATAAACTCGTCCATCTGCCACACTTAAGGGCTCTGGACCTGCAGGTTAAGAACATGCCTGGCCCCTTGGTGCAATAGAGCCTTTCTCCATTCAGCTCTCTGCCTGACTATGCTGCTTTTAACCCTTCCTTGCAGAGGAGATTTCCGACCTCACCGAGCAGATTGCGGAGGGAGGGAAGGCGATTCATGAGCTGGAGAAAGTGAAGAAGCAGATTGAGCAGGAGAAATCTGAAATCCAGGCTGCTCTGGAGGAAGCTGAGGTATGTGACCATAAACACTGGCATCTGCACTAAATAAATGAGGAAATAGGTTTAAACAAGCCTAGATTCCCCTCCCATCTGTCTGGGAGTGCAGACAGCTGGGATCTCTGGAAATATTCTTATATTCCCCCAAAAGGAAGCAGTAGGTTTATTGATACTATCAATGTTTGTGTCCCCCTCTCCAGGCCTCCCTGGAACATGAGGAGGGGAAGATCCTGCGCCTGCAGCTTGAGCTCAACCAAGTGAAGGCTGAGATTGACAGGAAGGTAGCAGAGAAAGATGAAGAGATTGACCAGCTGAAGAGAAATCATCTGCGAATTGTGGAGTCCTTGCAGAGCAGCTTGGATGCTGAGATCAGGAGTAGGAATGAAGCCCTGAGGCTGAAGAAGAAGATGGAGGGAGACCTGAATGAAATGGAGATCCAGCTGAGCCATGCCAACCGTGTGGCTGCAGAGACACAGAAGAACTTGAGAAACACTCAGGCAGTGCTCAAGGTTTGTTCAGCAAAGCTAAAGAAAGAGAAAAATGAGATCCCTGACATTTTTGCCACTCAAGTGACCACTGGCACCTGGTAATTTCTTTTCTCTTTCTTTCCAGGACACCCAGATCCATCTGGATGATGCTCTTAGGACAAAGGATGACCTGAAGGAGCAGGTGGCCATGGTGGAGCGCAGAGCAAACCTGCTGCAGGCTGAAATTGAGGAGCTCCGGGCAGCCCTGGAGCAGACGGAGAGGTCGAGGAAAGTGGCTGAGCAGGAGCTTCTGGATGCTGCCGAACGAGTTCAGCTCCTCCACACCCAGGTCAGGGCAGGGAGAAAAAGCTGTGTTGACCAAACACAGAGGGCTGGAATTTACCAGAGGAACAGCAGTACTAGAAAGGCCTCCCTACTGCTGAGCCCTAGGAAAGGCGTGTTTTGCATCCATTCCCCAACATTTTGTAAACACTCATTGTAACAATAATTACATGATAAGAGGTAGAAGCTGGAAGGGGAAAGTCTTTGTTCAGGCAGAAGCTTTATTTTGGCACATTTTATAATTAAACACTTGTCATGACCTTCTCATTGTACAGAACACCAGCTTGATTAACACCAAGAAGAAGCTGGAAACGGACATTGCCCAGATCCAAGGTGAAATGGAGGATACCATCCAGGAAGCCCGCAATGCTGAGGAGAAGGCCAAGAAGGCCATCACAGATGTGAGTTGGGCACTGCTGGCATTGCCAATGATGAATGTAGTCTCCCCAAAATATCTCCAGTCCTTAAATGGCTTTGACCCTTTGCTCTGATCAGGCGGCCATGATGGCAGAAGAGCTGAAGAAGGAGCAGGACACCAGTGCCCACCTGGAGAGGATGAAGAAGAACCTGGACCAGACAGTGAAGGACCTGCAGCTCCGTCTGGAAGAGGCCGAGCAGCTGGCACTGAAGGGAGGGAAGAAGCAGATCCAGAAGCTGGAGGCCAGGGTGTGTAGGGCTGGGGTTGTGCCTGAGTGAGCGTGTCCTTGCAGAGACATTGTCAGGGAAGCTGCAGGGATGGGTTTGTCCTTGCAGGTGCGGGAGCTGGAAGGGGAGGTTGATGCTGAGCAGAAGCGCAGCGCTGAAGCCGTGAAGGGCGTGCGCAAGTACGAGAGGAGAGTGAAGGAACTGACCTACCAGGTAAGGCAGGAGGGCTCCTGCTCTCACACGGTTTTCTCACAGCAAGGCACGTTTTACACACCCCATCCCCAAGGGGAATTGTTAACCTCACGTGATGCAGAATCAAGAATTGACTCTCTTTCCTGTTTGCCAAACACTCTAGTCTGAGGAAGACAGGAAGAATATTCTCAGGCTGCAGGATCTGGTGGACAAGCTGCAAATGAAAGTGAAATCCTACAAGAGACAATCTGAGGAGGCTGTAAGTATCTGAGTGCTTGTCAAGAACCACTTCCCAGAGGGTAGTTTGGCCATTGAGGAGACAAACATAAGAAATTTAGAAGATGCCACTCATTTATAAAGGAGGTATTCAAATTCTCTGAAAGGCTCATAAAGCAGACTTGCCTTTGAGAATAAAGCACTAAGAAGACTGCTAAGGAGGGCAAGTGAACATAGCATTTTTGCATTAGAATCACAATGAGTCTTAATACTGATATCAGTAGTACAATATATAAAGAAATCTTGGAAATAATTTATTTTAAGAGTTTTGATAGCAGACAGGGAATGTGTTGAAAGTCCCCTCCCAAACCACTTTGTGTTATATTTTTATAATTGTACAAGGAATCTTTTCCCGTTTCTAGGCATGCAGCAGTCAGGGATGTCCTGAGGGAAGTCCTACAGCCCCTGAATTTATGATTGTCTGAGCATGGGTTCTTCATTGTAGAAACAGTCCAGGACAGAGTAGAGCTATTGGTTCTGTTAAGGGAATTTATGAAAGGAGCCCTCTTTAAATAGTTGTCTCTAATAAATTCCTAACCCCACTTAAATGTCTGGAGATGTAATTGAATATTTGATTTTAGAGCTCAACAAAATCACATTTCCAGCTGCCCATTATCCAGCTGTCCGTTTTGCATCCTTCCCACATTCTAATGGAGAATTATGTTCAAATCCCATTATGGTACTTCTACAGTGGATCGTCCTCAAAAGCAAAGATGTCGTGTGAGCACTGGTAGAAATGGGAAAGAGATTTGTGTCCTCCCTCTAGGTAAAAGCTGTCCTCAACAAAGCCAAGGGGCAAGAGGAATGAAATCCCTGCCTTGTGCTCCTCACCACTGATTCCTTTTCCCCACACAGGAGGAGCTGTCCAATGTGAACCTCTCCAAGTTCCGCAAGATCCAGCACGAGCTGGAGGAAGCCGAGGAGCGGGCTGACATTGCAGAGTCACAGGTCAACAAGCTCCGAGCCAAGAGCCGGGAGTTCCATAGGAGGATAGAAGAGGAAGAATGAGAATGCCACAAGGCAGCAAAGTGTCCTGAGGACTGCACAAAATGTGAACCTCTTGGTCACTTTCCTTCTGCCATGAGTCTTTGTACCCACCTCAGTGTCTAGTGAATAAAGACTGTAGTAGATTCCTCTGCATACACGCTATGAACAACTTCTTTGGGTTTTGTTTTCCTTGGCCAATTACATTGCAGAAGAAGCTTCCTTACTTTTCCCGTCTGGGTCAGAAGGGAGAAGCTGGTGGCAGTGCTGGATTCTGGATCCACAAACTTAGGGGCTGGCCACTGATCTGGAAACTCCTGAAAATCCAGCCTGTACTCTCTCCTGTCTCCAGCAGCTCCTTGTCCAGCTCCTGCCTTCACATCCTCCTAATGCTTCTCCCATTGTCCTTTCAGCACAGCTTCTTTCCCATGGGAGACTCAAGAGAGGGTGATCTTTTCCTTTTTCCTTTCCCTACTCTTGATTGTGATGCTGAGCCCCCACAAACCCTAAACACCAATCTCTGAGTGTGTCACCAGAAGCTGCAGTGCACTGCACTGGGAAGGACTGACAGTTCTCTGACAGAGACAATTTCAGTCCCAAAGAGCATGGTTACAAGACACCAAAAGTGTCCCTACATTGTGTCATCTCCCTCATCCTGGATTTCCTCAGCTGCTGCCACCAGCTGCTGCCAGTTTCTCTTGAGAGGGCAAACAGCTGAGTCTGCCTGGGGCCAGGTGCTGGAATGACTCCCAGGACTCTCCCTTAGTGTCCAGCTCTTGCACACCACATGGCTCCAACACACCTCTTCACCACATCAACCCAGAGGTCAGCCTTGTCACCCCTGAAGCTCTCACTGTCAGTCACTCCAGCTGAATCCAGGTAGCAGAAGTCCTTGACGAAGACCAGTGTGGTGTGAAGAGAAACACATTAGCAGCATCTGGGGTGTGAAGTTCAGTTTGCACAGAAAGGAAACAAGAAGCAAAGGAGCAGGGGCCTTTGTAGGCAGTGATGTGTGAAGCTTGTGTTAGTCCACAACTTTCTACAACTGCCAGCTGTAGAAATGCTGGTATTGAGCAGCAGAGTTTTGTGTTCTATGGAGCATTGAACCCAACAGGATCACAATGTTTTCAAGGAAGAGCTTGCCTGGGGAGCTCCTTGGGGTGATGGGAAGTGATAAGAATTGACACTGTCTGCTTGGTCTAAGCTTGCAGAAGTCACTGCCAGATGCTTTGAATCCATATAGATGCTCACACTGAAGGGAAGTTTACACCCATGACAGTGATATCCAAAGGGCTCTTACCTTATCTGGCTCCCAAGTGCAGCCTCAACAGTGAACCAGCTCTTCCTGTTGAGTCCAGTCTGATTCCAGTGTCACTAACAAGCACTGATGAGCAGAACCTGTTGGTGTTGTCTGTGGAGAGAAATGGGAGATGGTTCTTTAGGAGAAGACCTCAGCTTTCAAGACCTTAAGAAAGCCACACAATGCCTTGAAGAGATGCCAGACTAGCTCTTCCTCCTTATGACACTGCGCAACTTTTCCCAAGGGCTCCTAACCTTGTTCCTCCCTCCTCATCCCCAGCAGCCTTTCTCCTTGACTCACAGTGTGCATTGTACTGTCACTGCAGCCAGGGCCTCTTGGCAGGAAACTGCCTGCCCAAGCCCACCTAGAAGCTGATTGCTCCTCTTGGGAGTAGTCCCACCTGAGGGTATCTCCAAAGCTTTGGGTGGGTCTGGGTAGAGTCTAGATGGCACACAAAATCTGTGAGTATCTCTGTTAGCTGTAATGGCTAGTACAAGTATTTACTTAAGAGATTCAGGCACAGGTGCACACCCTCAGGCAGGACCTGCCCTGAGCACAGCAGGGCACTGCTGATGGCACTGGGGACTGGCCCTACCCCCCAGAAAACTCACAGCTTCCTCTGCCCTCTCCTGCACTCCAAGGCCACACCAAACTGCCCCTCAGCCTTCACAAGAGCCATTGCTGGAGGAGGGGACAAAGCTGAAAGGAGCTTTGGAGGAGGCCCCTAGCAGGAGGATCAGCCCCATCATGTGTCTCCTTTCATCCTCAAGGTCAAAAGCCCAAAATAGCCCCGCTCTCCCAAGACTCCTGTGCGGGGTTGTGCCTGTTTGTGGGCATGATTTGCTTCCACTAATAGTGCCTGAAGACATTCCTGGCCGGGTAGGCTGCCTTCTATGTCGCAGTGCAACGTGCTGCCGTGGAGGAGCTGGACACGTGTGCTGTGTCCCAAGGCAGCAGCTGCTATTCTTACCCCAGAGAGACTCTCTGCAGCACAGCTCCATTGCCAGCTGAAAGGTTAAACATCAGAACGGGGCCCAGCACCATGGCCATGGCCACTCCCTGCTGGGATGTGCTGGCCCATGAGCAACACAGCAGCTGCCCAGGTACTGCCAGAAGTCAGTCGGGGCTCTGTGGGGTGCATGAGGCACCCCCTCTCTCATTTTAACCAGCAAATGCAAAAGACAGGCCCGGCTGCAGCTCTGAAGTGCACCATTTTACTGCTACCTTCCTGGAGTTCCTGTCTGGGTGAGGATGAAGGCAGAGGCAGGGCTTGCTTCAAGGCCCAGCAGTGCTGCAGGGGCTGTCCATGTCCTTTTGCTCAAACTGGGCTTTCCCAGCACTCATTCAGGGAAGGCTGCAGGGCCACACACCACAGGTCCCTCAAGTGCCCCAGCAGTATCAGGGCTGCAGGAGAAGCCCTGGCTGGGCTGGTGGCTCTGACATGATGGTTATGGAGACTCAGCCCTGCCTGCAGCTGGACTCCCCTGGCCCTCTGGAGAGCTCAGGAAAGCCGTGTCCCAGCTGGGTACAGTCACCGTGGGCGATCAGGCAGAGGACACGGAGCCCAGGACATCAGCTGGGATGGTGGCTGAGCCTTTCCCTCAGGCCTTGGCTGGGATGGTGGCTGTGCCTTTCCCCTCAGGCCTTGGCTGCTGCTCTGACAGCACAAGGTCCCCTCAGCTTGGCCCTTGCCACCTGACACCGAAGGACAGACGTGTTCCTTTGGGGATCCTCGGCAGGACGCCGACAGCATTACTGCCGCTGAGGGGAGCAGGGGGTGCTGGTGCCACGGCCCCATCAGGCTCCTGTCAGTCCCAGGGAGCTCCCGGGGCAGCAGCTGAGCAGGGCCTCTGCTCCAGGCACCCAGTGCCAGGGGATGGCAGCCTGGAGCCATCGAGGGGACCCTGCTCTGGGCCCTGCTCCACTGCAGACCAGCAACACATGCCTTATGTTCAGAGAACGCTTTTTGAGTGCAAAAAGTGCTTGAAGAAATTAATCATTTAAAATTCTACCATGTGCTCTTAAGTACTCAGACACTGCATTCTGCTCAGGGACTCCATAAATAAAAGTAATGTAGGAAGGAGAGTTCTGTAGAAATGCTATTCTGTGCTGATCACCCTTCCTGAGCATCACTTTCAAAGACAGGATATTGGGCTACATGAACCTTTGATCTCACAAGGACAGCTTATTTTAGATTATGACAGAGTTTCCTTCAGGGGTTAATACCATGGTCCCTCATTATTTCCTTTTCCTTCCCCTTCCGTCCTGCTCTTATAGTTACTTGCTGCTTCAATTACCACTTCCCGTCTGCCAGGCTGCCCATCCCACTCACCTGGCCTGTAATAAGAGCTGCTTTGGCAGGGGATAGAAAGGGCATCCCGAGCGTCACCTCCTTGGATGGGATCTCCTGCCCAGACCTCTTCCGCTGAGGTGTTTTTGGAGACAGGAGGAGCGTGAATCGCAGTGCATGAGAGGCATGCACTTGAAACTGCCCATCCTCTAATCCCAGATTATGGGATTTATTTGCCTCTTCTGTTCAGTTATTCAGTTTATTTGCCTCTCATGTTCAGCTTAAACTCACTCAAAGACTTCCAAGAATACCACTCTGTGGGAACCTACTTGGAAACAAATTTATAATTAAAGCTCCCTCTAGGGCAGGTGCATTCACTTTCTTTGACATATAGTGGAGGTAAATCCCAGCTGCATAAAGATCAACAGAAATTAATTTCTGACTAGAGCAGAAGGGACAGCAAGGCCATTACAGCCCCTCCACAGCCAGCCTCTGATATTCAGCTTCACAGGTGCTCACACTTAGAAATTTTTGGTCGCATTTGCCATGGTAAAGAATGGGTGGCCCATTCTTTACCTGCAGCTTTTAAATCTTACCAGTTATGGTCCTCAGTAGTTCTTCCTTGGAAATAATTTATTTCTTCCCAAAATTGCTTCAGTGTATTCCTTCAGCCACATTTATCAGAAACATTAGTTCAATGGCAAATTTCCTAACCAAATGTCACATCAAAATTATGGACTGAGCATGTTCTGCTCATACCACTGAGCATGTTTCAAGCTAACATTGAAAGTAGGAACCTTAATGGAGCGACACTGAATTGAAAACCAACCTTTTAATATGGAAAATGTGCTCTTACCCTCTCCAGGGCTCAGTGTCCAGTCAGAAGTACAGAGATGAGCGGTGCTGCTACAGAGCAGTGCTCTGACATTTCTGCTTGCCCTCTACTAACATTCCTGGAAGCTCTTATTTTACACAGAGGGCAGCAGAAAACCTGCTGCAGCAGGGGCTAAGCATTCCCTGTTAGACTGTCCATGACAGGCTGCAGAGAAAACTCACATGTCTAGGCAGGCCCTACCTTAACAACAGTAGGGCTGTCAGCAGCACTTGCAAGGTGAAAATCCTGCATGGGTTTAAGATCCCTTTTTTTAGCAGTGGGGGGAAATAATGAGCAAGTCATTCAGACTCCTTCCTACACCATTTCTCCTTCTAGAAGAGTTGTAAGTATAGTTCTAATCTGTCACCCTGAGAATCAGGACCTCGATACTGTTTTTCTACAAGTTCTAACCACTTTCCAAGGAAAGCAACTACAAACATAGATATTTATACATTTCATTAAAGATATGCCTTCTGATGGACATCTCTCACAGCCAGTGTGGTTGAGAAGGTGTTAACCTGACTATCCACTATTCATGGTCAGAAACCTATAAATACTGAAAGAAAAAATAAAGTTATCTCTTTCTTTCACCACACCTCGAACTGCATCCGTGTGACTCATTTCCTTTCCAACAGTGACACTGATCTATATGATTTTTGTATCTGCCACTGTCCCTATTTCAGTTTCCACTCTTTTGAGGTGATGGTGATGTGTTTTTTACTCAAAAGTGCTATATGTTAATGCCCTGGTTCTAGAATTCAAATGTTGCCATTTATTTTGGAGGGATAGTATTCTACTATGTATGAATTACAGAGTCTGTCAAGAAAAAACATTGGGTCAGAAAGTGATATCCTAGCAGCTAGGTCTCACAGTGTCATAAATGTTTTTAAGGCAGAATCAAGGCACTGAACAAAATACTATTTTTTTACTTTTCCTAGATTATAAGGACACTGATACTAAATAATCAAATCCCAATAGAAGTTTGTTTAAGCAGTCTATACTGAAATCATATCCTTTTTTGAAAGATTCCTGCAAATCCTAGCCAATAACTAAGGGCAGGACTTGGGAACGACTGCCATTCAGCAGTCTGGACAAAATGCCAAACAGTTTAGCAGACACAGGGAAAAAAAAAGAGATGAAGGTGGTGTCTCGATATCCTAAAGATAAAGAGCCTGCAGAAATAAAATCAGGAAAAGAAATCAGAACAATTGCTCCTCCAATTGCTTCTCCTGCTGCCTGTACTCCCCAAAATGTGATGGTGTCCATTTGGGTTGGAAAAGACATCTAAAATCAATATGTTTAATCATTACCCCAGCACTGCCAAGTCTACCACTAAACCATGTCCCCACATATTTTTTAAATCTCTCTGGAGCTGGGGAGCCCACCATTGCCCTGAGCAGCCTGTTCCAGCACTTGACAAACCTTTCAGAGAAGAAATTTTCCCAATATCCAATCTAAACCTCCCCTGGTCCAGCCTGAGGCCGTTCCCTCTCCTCCTGTCCCTGTTCCCTGGCAGCAGAGCCCAACCCCACCGGCTGTCCCCTCCTGCCAGGGACTTGTGCAGAGCCAGAAGTTCCCCTGAGCTCCTTTGCTCCAGGCTGAGCCCCTTTCCAGCTCCCTCAGCCTCTCCTGGGGCTCCAGCTCCATTCCCTTCCCTGGGCATGTTCCAGCCCCTCAATGTCCTTCATGTCATGAGGGGTCCAAAACTGACCCCAGGACAGGAGCTCAGAGATTTTTGCAAGATACCTGTCTGAGTGTCCATATGAACAGGAGTTTTAAATCTACGGAAGGAAATTTTTCAAGCGAGTTTGCCTGTGAAGATAAATATGACTTCTTGAACTTTTCTTGTTGGTTCCCACATGTTCTAACTGGGTTTACATTATTTTGTTTCTCTTTCGGCAGAAAAGAACATCAATGGGAGGTCTTGAGACTCCCATTGAAGTGGAGGTCAGCAACTTACATCTATGTTTCATTTTCTGTTATTGCAACTGGACAGAAGGTCCTGGTCAGCTTGGTCCAGGGAGGAAGGCGTGCAGGACCTAAGCAGAAGGCCTGAAGGTGGTTGGTTCTAACTAGACAGTGAAGGTGGCTTTCTAACTAGACAGGTTACAAGGCTGCTCCAAGAAGCAGAATAGAGAGTGAGGTTTCCATGGGGCCACAGACTCAAGAATTTTGATAGGGCTCAACATTCACATTTCACCTGTGTCTGTGAGTCCCCCTCTTTTCCTCAGAGCTCCCCAGGTCAGACTCACTGAATACAAGGGGAGGGAAATCACATTGTAGGGACTTACAGAAAGTGGGATACAATCTATTTTCAAGATAATTCTTTTTTCAGGAAGGAGACCACAGTAAATATATTTCACTCTGCAACAGAATTGGTTAAGTTACAAGAGAAAATTAGCAGTCATCCCAAAGAAAATGAAATGGAGATTGTTTTAATAATTTCGCTAATGCGGAGGAATGAAATAAAGTTTCCCAAGGAAGAAGCACATGATGAAGAGCCCTGGTGTCTTACCCACAGAGCAGCTTGTTGTGTGAGAAATTTGGAGTCGTTGGAGGGGGAAAATGCATCTCTATCCCCCTTTCAAAATATGCTGAAATTTCCATGAATTGTGGGATGCAGTGGGCTTCCAACCAATGCATGAGAAACAGCTGGTGCCCCTTTGAGTTTCTCCTGTGTTATTATTACTTACTGTAAAATTTAAGGATTGAGATCCCGAAAAAGTGAGTTGAGGGAGGGGCACTGAACTCATTTATCCAGTAAAACCATCAGTCCTGCTGCACTGTAGTTCTCCTGGTTTCCCCATAAGCCCTCTTTATATTAGTCACCTGTCAGTCCTGTGATATACTAATGGATTCTTAAGTAGGACCTTTCACTGTGCTTGGAAGCTTCACAAGTCCATCTATGAGTTCCCCATGATTTTCACATATCTATATTTGAGGACTGAGAAGCAAAAAAATCTGCCATGACACTACTAACCTGATGATAAGGGTCTGAAATCAGCTCCATTATGGGAAGACCAATTAAGCTGAGAAATAACAGAGGAATGGCTGCAAATGTAGGAATTTTACAAGGAAGAAGGGGAATGTGATCAGAATTATGGAAGTAATGTAGGACAGTGTGCATCACAGGAGCATAGTCATGGGAGAGTATGGACTGTGTAGGAAGAATACACAGGGGAAATGAGAAGGGTTTATGCTTTATGTCAAAATGCTTCTTGCTTGTGCAATGCTCGACTGTGGGGATGCAGACATCCTGTCAGAGATGGGAGGAAAATGAGGAATATTGTGATAGGGTCTGTAATGGACCACCTGAACAAGACAAAGTAGTGAAGGGATTTCTACAACTAGTAGAAACTCAAGTCTCCTCTGCCTTAAGGAGGTTTTCAGCCATATGGAGATCTGCTGTGAGGACAGCAGCATCAGGCAAGCTCTGCCAGAAATTCTTAGGCAGTGCTGATGTCAATATGCCAAATACTGGACAGGCAACACTGAGTATTGGAAGCAGAGTGAAATTGATAAATATGATCCCAGATGGCACCTCAGGCTGCAGCAAACACATGATGACTGGATGAAGGATTCCGTGGAAAGCTGGAGATAACCAACAGAATAGCACTCTAGGCTTTATAAGATTGGAATTCATTGCATTTAAGGAGCTGCTCATTAGCACACACTTTGCAGCAGCTATGAAAGAGAAGAGACTACTTAGGAGAGATGTGCTTTATAAGCACAACCAAATTGAATTTTGGGGGCTATTTAACCCTTCATAGGATGCTACATTACATGTATTGTCATAGATCAATTCTCAAACAGCTTTATTTTCATCTGTGTCCAGAGCTGTATTAAAACCAGGTAAGTCAATACTGCTTTTCTTTCATGCTCTAACTAGTGATTTCTACAAGCACTCACTGGCAATGAGTACTAGAACCCAAAATAATATCTGCCCATACTGTATGGAGCAGTTGTAGTGTTACATGAGGTGCTTTAGCAACATCCTATGGGTGTTATACGAGTTGCTTGAGCAGTGTGGTAGCCCCCTCTTATTTGCAGTTGGTATTTCTGTCCTGAAAGGACAGCTGCTGAGAAATGAGGAGATACTTGGTGAAGAGCCTGAAGCTGGAAACTTGAGGAACCTGAATTCCCTGAACAGCATGAGCATGGAGAAATTTTAACACAGGACTTCAGTGATGTGAATGCGATGTGATGAGAGGGGGAATAATCAGTCACTTGCTGAAAGCCTTGGAACTTTCCCTAACTAAATCACACCGAAGCAGAATGGTAGCATTGTTGCTGGAGTTTCGGTAACTCCAGTACCATTGCTACTGGGATTCTGGAAGCACCAGTGATAACTGACCTGGATTGTGTCCAGGATGGAAATGCATGGATGACTAAAACTAAACATCTTGCAACCCTATAAATAGCAGGCCTTAGTGAGGCACTTTGAGCTCTCCCGGACTGCAGCAGGCTGCAACCAGCATCTCCCTCAGGGTGGGGTGCCTCTCAAAACTCATGAGCTCTTAAGTTGGTGAAAAATGGAGGACTGATTTTCAAAAAATTCACCAAAAGCTAATTCACTAGAGCAATATCCTCCACTCCCTGAGGCTCAGCTCTTGCCCACTGAGAAATTCCAAGACATTTGAAGTGAATATTTCACTGAACTCAGAGGGAACTTTTAACAGGTGTAATCCTTGAACATTTATATACACATCTTTGTGTCTGTGTGCATGCATGTGTGAGTTCATTTAAGCCCTCTACAGCAAGTATAGTTTTAATGTTGCCATATGGAATGTATAACTAAATCCCTGTTGCAATTATAGTAAATCCTTTTGAATCACTTTATAAATGCCAAATTAGTCACTGATTAGGTCCTGCTAAAACCCTTTAGACACAAACTCTTGACCAGGTCTGGTATTTTGATTAGATCCAACTTCACCTAGACTCTGCCAGGAATTTAAAAACCAAGGGGCCCTCTGTGAAAAGGAGGATTTTTCTTATGCTTTTTACCCTTATCCTTTACATCCCCAGTTGTGTAAATCATTCTAAAGTAATTCTTAGTCATTTTTTATTGATCTTTGTAGCAAGTAACAGAGCAAACTTTGCCATCAAATTTTGTTGCGCTTTGGCAATTCATATTGAATCCTCTTTCACAAATGCATTTGATGGTGATACTTTAAGCAACCTTAACTCATTTGCAACATCTGATTCCTCAACAGTCAGCTCAGGAATCTATTCAAGAGCTACATATCAAAGTAGAGTCTCCCATTACTTGGGATCAGGCTCCCAACTCACTGTATTTCAAATAATTTCAGCTATTGAGAGTGTCCTATACAGAAAACTCAGCTGTAATAGATTTTTACTTTCTGCTTTTTAGAGAATACCACTGAAAAGTAGTTCCCAACATTGTCTGCTAGTTTTTGACATATTTTCCCTGTTCCTTCCAATGCATATGTTCCAAAAGCATCATAGGCGTTGTCATCACCATTACATGACTGAAAAGTTGTGGTATAAACATACCAAGGAAACTACTATGGGTCAAGGAGCAAATCACTGAGAAAGGCAGCAATAGAACCATGCAAGTTCTCTAAGTGCCTTGAGTAGTCTAGATTCTCTCCTTAACACTCTTGAGTGTTAAATTATTTATAGATGTATTCATGTAGTCAGTAAGATATAAAAATGTTCTAATTATATCATTCAAATCAAGTGACAATTATGCCCTTAGTTTGACAGACAATGCTTGGCCAAAAAAGGTTTGCCAGAAATGTTTTGACCGAAGAAAGGGGGACCATCTGCAGCATCTGCAGACGAGACACTATAAAATCTGCCAGAGACAAGTCTAGCCTGTCTCCGCAGAAGGCTTCCAGGTAAGTGCATGCATTTCATGAGCTTGAAGAAAGAGTACAATGTTCTTGAAATATCCTGTTTCATTTCTTCTGTCTCTAGCAACCATTTCCATGAGGGAGTGCCCATGTGAACAAAAATTTTCAGTGTAATTTTTATGCATGCCTGTATTTTCAACCTACAGTATTTTATGGAATGCTGTTCAGCAATAAGAAACAACTGCCATTTCTATTTTACAGGGTTGGCCATATTCCAAGATACAAGCTGTTCTCCAAAGGTAATATACTAAATAATCCATTCCTAATCTACATTCTAGGACAGAACTTTTAAAGAGGTGCAAAAATTCTTGTCATAAATCCTCTTGTATTCCAGCTGGATTTGCTTAGGCTAGATAGTTGAAAATAGAAAGGATCTAAAAAATGAAGTAATTTTTCATTTTTAATAGGAAAGGTAATCCTTTCAGCAAGAAAGTACTCTCTTGAAGACTCATTGCTCATAATTAAGGACCAGAACAGAGAGCGATTTTTCTGTGGCTGTAGATTCTTTTATGTGAAAAACTCAAACCTTGTCAGAATTCAGGGTGATTTACTAGACTATATTTAATATTCAGATGTTCTATCTACTGTCAGAATATCTATATGTTGTAGAAGTCTAAATCTTACTCTTGGGTTCAGAAAAGGGTACTTTTAACTTCAAATCAAAGTGTATTTAATAGGTTTCTTCCTAAGAGCTTATTTTGGAGACTAACTAGGAATTTATTAGCTAAAGAGCAAGGAGATTTCTAATTGGTATAGACTGTATTATTCTTCCTGATGACCAATAACTTTTTTTTCTCCACAAGACACCTCTGCTGACGAGCTTTCATTAGAGGGCAGACATGGCCTCTGGAGATGCTGAGATGGCCGTTTTTGGGGAGGCCGCTCCTTACCTCCGAAAATCGGAAAAGGAGAGAATTGCAGCCCAAAACAAACCTTTTGATGCCAAGTCATCTGTCTTTGTGGCTCATCCCAAGGAATCCTTTGTGAAAGGGACAATCCAGAGCAGGGAATCAGGCAAAGTCACTGTCAAGACTGAAGGGGGAGAGGTGAGTCAAAAACAAGGATGAAGGACAACATTTGACCCCCACATTGAGCTTTTAGGTGATACATATGGATCCATTGTTTCCTTGGCAGACCCTGACGGTGAAGGAAGACCAAGTCTTCTCCATGAACCCTCCCAAGTATGACAAGATCGAGGACATGGCCATGATGACCCACCTCCACGAACCCGCCGTGCTGTACAACCTCAAAGAGCGTTACGCAGCCTGGATGATCTACGTAAGTGGCAGCAGCAGCTTCCTTTGGGCAGCCTCAGCAAGTGCTGGGCCAGGCTGAGGGGAAGCCAACGTGCTGTGTCCCTTCCTCACAGACCTACTCGGGTCTCTTCTGCGTCACTGTCAACCCCTACAAGTGGCTGCCGGTGTACAACCCCGAGGTGGTGTTGGCCTACCGAGGCAAGAAGCGCCAGGAGGCCCCTCCACACATCTTCTCCATCTCTGACAACGCCTATCAGTCCATGCTGACTGGTGAGTGCTTGATTTCCTTTGAGCTGCTCTTCAAATCGTCTGTCTGTAGAGGGAAATTTAGGGCATTCTCTGGAAATATGGTGCCATATTTAAAAAAAAATGTGTGTGCGAAATTAATGGAAGACTAATGCACTTAAATCTAATGGTCTGTGAGAGCTGAGTGTCAGTGTCATTAGAATCAATAAAGACCCAGACATAACCTAGAGGGTGTAAATTCACTGGAAAGAAATTATTTTGTGGTGTAGACCTTACACCTGTAACGGAATCTTACAAATACGGATGGATATCTGTATCTTAATCACTAAATTAGACTCAGATGGAGAGTACAGGGTACAGTTAAATGACACATATCCTATAAATAATGGGTGCAATATCAATTTAAATTTTCAAGCATCAGTGCTGACAAATAAAACAGAGATCTCTACCTTAAACAGGTATGTTAGCTTCACTTGAAGCACTTATTTTGCAAATGAATTTCATTAGGTAGATAATGGCCATGTGATCTAAGTTACATACAGCCTTTAATGATCTCTGGAACTCCTGCGCTGGTCTGTAGCTGCATCTATAAATCAATTGCACTGTGTAGTGAAAAGTAAACTTCATAAAACAATATCAAGGAAAAAATAAAGCTTTTAGCATTTAAACTGAGCAACTTCAAAAAATTTCTTTGTGCTTTCTCCTCTTCCTTTCACCTCCTCTTTTCCTTATATATGCATTGAAATGAAAGGCGTGCAGGATTTTAGAACTTGTTCTCTTGTTCTTTTCTTAGACACTGGGAAATGTATTCAGAATAGAAAAATAAAAAATTAATTTTGTTGATGCATAATCTCAAGAATGCGTAATTTCTCTTTATATAGGGATTAAAAAAATAGAGGTGAAAAAAGGTAAAAGAGGTCAGATGTTTCTGTAATTAATAATGCCTCCAAATTTCCATAAGATTACTCAAGAAACTTTAAGCTTCAGAAGAATTTACATACAAAAAAATTACAACTTAAATATTTTCATTACCCGCATTTGCCTATTAAGAGAGAAATAAGTAACTCGATGAAAAGACAGTGTGAGGAAAGGCATAAGACTACTGAAGTTCTAAGTTCTAGTGAGAGAAACTAAATTTCTCTGAAGTGATTCCTTTACAGAACTGCATTGCTAATAGCTGAATAACTGATAGCATCAAAACTAACCACTAGAATTCCCTGGGCACTTTTTGCTATTTTTTGTTTCTGGATCCTCTGGAAGCTTCATTTCTAATTTTTCTCTAAGTTCTTGAATTTCTTATTTGTCTTTTCTTATCGGTTTCTTGCCTCTGTCTCTTCACAGATCGGGAGAACCAGTCCATCCTGATCACGTACGTACACCCCCTGCGCGGGTCCCTGCGGGGCTGCCCGGTGCCAGGGGACCTCCTGCCTGACCATGCACCCTCTGCTTCTCTCTTGGCTTGGGCAGCGGAGAATCCGGTGCTGGGAAGACTGTGAACACAAAGCGTGTCATCCAGTACTTTGCAACAATTGCAGCCAGTGGGGACAAGAAGAAGGAGGAACATGCATCAGGCAAAATGCAGGTAAATCAGTACCCACATATTGGAATCAATGCTTTCATCTGTTCCTGACATGATTTTTCGAAAGCATAACTAGTAATAATTATCTCCATGCAGGGGACGCTTGAGGATCAAATCATCAGCGCCAACCCACTGCTGGAGGCCTTTGGAAACGCCAAGACCGTGAGGAATGACAACTCCTCACGTTTTGTAAGTTGTTACTTGGGACAACTGTCAACACCAGTTTGAATATTCTTGCTGTCCAGATTGGTAAAATAGTTCTCAATTGACTTTCCTGCTGCTTTCAGGGTAAATTCATCAGAATCCATTTTGGTGCCACAGGCAAACTGGCTTCTGCTGACATTGAAACATGTAAGACACCCTTCTGGCCTGATCCCCTTCCTTCCAGCCTTCCCCACTTCTTGTGCTTGACTCTGTCCTACCATCCTTGCCAGATCTGCTGGAGAAGTCCAGAGTCACTTTCCAGCTCAAGGCGGAAAGGAGCTACCACATCTTTTATCAGATCATGTCCAACAAGAAGCCAGAGCTAATTGGTAGGAAAGATCATTAATCTTTTTTGAAGGAAGATTGCTGAGCAGTAGTTCACTGCGTTACCTGGAAACTAAAACAAGCTTGTTTTTCTCTTCCTGTTGCTTTCAGACATGCTTCTCATCACCACCAACCCTTACGATTTCCACTTTGTGAGTCAAGGTGAGATCACAGTTCCCAGCATTGATGATCAGGAGGAGCTGATGGCCACAGATGTGAGTAACTTTACCAAATGATCATCTGGTGGATTTGAGCCTTGGTATATGTACATTTGTGTTTCTGTTGCCAGAGTGCCATTGACATCCTGGGTTTCAGTGCTGATGAGAAAACAGCCATCTACAAGCTGACAGGGGCTGTCATGCACTACGGGAACCTGAAGTTCAAGCAGAAACAGCGCGAGGAGCAGGCAGAGCCTGATGGCACTGAAGGTATCAGTAGAGTCAGCAAGCTTTCCAAAAGAGATAGTCTTTATTACATAAGGACTTAGGCAGATTTCAGGCTTTAAATATGTAAACTAAGAATTAGACTAGTTACTCCATAATTAGATGCCAGCTGAGGCATTTATCTCATTTATTGATACCTGTACTCTTTCCATTGTGACTACTATATAAGAGATTACACTGACAGAGAGCCAGGAGACTTGCATGTCAACTGCTGTAACATTGCTAATCATACCTAAGTTGAAATACACCTTGCAACCTCTGCTGTATTATGGAGTAGTGAAATGGTTCAGCCCTAACAAGACAGAAGGTTGTGCTCTTCTTCACCCTCACCTACTGGAGAAAACTCTGACATGAGATGTGTACTTCATAGTCTCTGTCACAGCAGGAAGGACTGTCCATACCTCCATCTTTCTGAGTGATAGATCCTCCTGCTATATGACTAGAAAGTTCCATACTGACACCTGAAAGAGGGTAAAGGCAATGAGCTCTCTTGTGGAATGTTTGAAGAAAATGAAGTTCAGAAAGAGTCCTGAATGCAAAAAAGAAAATAACTTTGTAGCTTTGACAGATATGGTGCAACCTTGTGGAGAACACTATTGGGCCACTCAGTCAAGCACTGACTTTTAGGAAGTTTTGAGTATCTACTCTTCTGTCTTTTCTGGCATTCAGTTGCTGACAAGGCTGCCTACCTGATGGGTCTGAACTCAGCAGATCTGCTCAAGGCCCTCTGCTACCCCCGTGTCAAGGTGGGGAATGAATACGTGACCAAGGGCCAAACTGTGCAGCAGGTAGGAAAAATATGGTAATGTGGAACATGCTGTTATGGTTCCCACTGTTTCTCCTCTGCTGTGTATAGTAACCTCCAAAACTTATTCTGTGCTTTAGGTGAACAATTCAGTGGGTGCCCTGGCAAAGGCTGTCTATGAGAAGATGTTCCTGTGGATGGTTGTTCGCATCAACCAACAGCTGGACACGAAGCAGCCCAGGCAGTACTTCATTGGTGTCCTGGACATTGCTGGCTTTGAGATCTTTGATGTAAGATTTCGTAACAGCTATTTGGAAGTGACAACTGAATGTTATGATCAATTTGAGACACATTTTTAAAGAGAACATAATATTATCACATGATTATTCTATTTGTCTTTTTTAAGTAAAAAAATGACCTTTCAAAGGACTTGTATTATTTCAAGATGAGGAAAATCAAAGGTACAAAATGGTCAAATCATAAAAGTTCATTGTTTTTATGATTGGGAAAAGACAGTATAAAAATGTAATCATGATAGTCCTAAACTTGGGTTTATTCTCCTGCTACTTGGTCTCATTTTAAACAGGATGTATAATTTATCTTTAAATTTTATCAATGAAAATTGTGGACAATTAATTTGATTATTTTCTCTTTTTCATAATGTCATAAAACAGGCTGAAGAAATGCATGGGAAATCAAGTTAACTGCACTCCTTAATTTTAAAAGATGAGTTCTTGCAATTCTTGCTGCATCTTCAAATATGCGTCTTTCTTATTTCCAGTTTAACAGCTTTGAGCAGCTGTGCATCAACTTCACCAATGAGAAACTGCAACAGTTCTTCAACCACCACATGTTCGTGCTGGAGCAGGAGGAGTACAAGAAGGAGGGGATTGAATGGACATTCATTGACTTTGGCATGGACCTGGCTGCCTGCATTGAGCTCATTGAGAAGGTGTCCTTTCTGTCCAAATCAGTTACATGCATGGAATCTCTGTAATTACTTGGTCTCATTTTCCAAAGAGATCATCTGTGTTCATGTTTTTCTTGTGCTGGGTGGCCGAGAGCTGGAACAGCATTCCAGATATTTCTTCTCAGAGCTGAGTAGAGGGGAAGGATCTGAGGATCCCTGAGCTCTTAGCAGCACAGTGTAGATGAGGATGAGTTGGTGGCTTTGCTGCAATGTTGTAATGCTGGCTTGTGTTCAACTTGTCTCACACATCTATGCGTGCCAAGAGAAACAGTTATGAAGCATGTGAGAATATTTTGGCTTCTTCAAGAATATAATCTGTGAAAGTGGCAACAGGGTGGATGTGTTTTGGAGATTATTACCCAGATATCAAACTTTTGGTGAGAGAATACATAGCCACATTACAAAATGAAGTGAAAAAGGTGGTCATGTTCTTTAAGTACTTCTCAGTAAACAGAGTTATGGAGAGGACAGTGTTTCATATTGTCATATCTATAATAATTTCATCAGCAAAGGCATTTCTATAATTTTGAATGAAATAGCGACAGTGAAAAAGTTGAGTCTTAGTTGATATTCTCTGACTTAAAGTCAATATGGGAACACCTTCCTTTCCTAACTTCAGCAACTTTCCAACCAAGAGATGTCTCCTCTCTAATCTGTTTCTCCTTCTTGTCTGTCATATTCTCTCCCAGCCCATGGGTATTTTCTCCATCCTGGAAGAGGAGTGCATGTTCCCCAAGGCAACTGACACCTCTTTCAAGAACAAGCTCTATGACCAGCACCTGGGCAAGTCCAACAACTTCCAGAAGCCCAAGCCTGCCAAAGGCAAGGCTGAGGCTCACTTCTCCCTGGTGCACTATGCTGGCACAGTGGACTACAACATCACTGGCTGGCTGGAGAAGAACAAGGACCCTCTGAATGAAACTGTCATTGGGCTGTACCAGAAATCATCTGTTAAGACCCTGGCTTTACTCTTTGCGAATTATGGCGGAGCAGATGCAGGTCAGTTTTGTGGAAATTGTATTTTTAATGTGGGACAAACTTTTCTCGGAATTAAAGCCATAAACATTAACATTTAAAGTTGTTTCATGTTAATTTAAAACCTTTTTGTTTCCCTTTATTCAATTTGAAGAGGCTGGTGGTGGCAAGAAGGGAGGCAAGAAGAAGGGTTCTTCCTTCCAGACTGTCTCAGCTCTTTTCCGGGTATAGTGCTGTATCTGTTATCTCTGAAATGTGAAGAAAGGGAGCTAATATTAAATTTGAAAGAGTTATTTTTAATTACTCAAAAGGGGGTAAATTTCTCTGGAAATTCCACATCAGGTTTTTCAGAGTCAATTTTAACATTGCAAATATGTCCAAAAATGGGCATTCAGTCTTCAAAAGTATGTAAATCTACTAATTTGTGCTGGTTTTCTTTTCTTTTCATTAGCAGATATCATTCAGATCCTCATATTTTTATGTCTTTGCATCAGACTAGAATGGTAATATTACTATTCATGCATTTTTGTTGAGGAGTTGAAAATAATTTCCAAGAAGATATTCATGTCCTTTGAATAAATCCCTATTTTTTGAAACTTAAGTAGATTGAATTTTGAAACTAGAATGTGAAAAAACTAAGTCATTTACTCTTTGTGAATGTGTGAAATCATACATTAGTTTTCACTGAACCAATACCAGCACTGTAGTATTTCAGTCTAGGTGCTCAGTATCTTCAAATACAGGAAATTTTTTGGTTTCTGTGGTTTTATCTAAATGCTCCAAAACCCAGCTTGAGAAGCTGTAAAATCATTACCTGGGCTTAGTGCATCAAACACTCCATACAAGGAAACTCACACTGTTGATTGGTTCCTCTAGGAGAACCTCAACAAGCTGATGACCAATCTGCGGAGCACTCACCCCCATTTTGTGCGCTGTATCATCCCCAATGAGACTAAAACACCTGGTAAGCTGCTCAGGCAGGAAGATCCTTGCTCTGATCCATCCATTCCCCTCTGCACTGCAATCTGTGCCATTCATTTGTGCTCTGCATTGCCAGGTGCCATGGAGCACGAGCTGGTGCTGCACCAGCTGCGCTGTAACGGCGTGCTGGAAGGGATCAGGATTTGCAGGAAAGGCTTCCCCAGCAGAGTCCTCTATGCTGACTTCAAACAGAGGTGAGAGCTATGAAATGAAGAGGTAAGTCAGGTGTCCTCACCAACTGCTCTCCATCAGACAGCTGAGTTTGTCATGGTCTCTGAGTATGGAGGGATGAAATTCCAGCTTCCTCAGTCTGATTCTGCTGCAAACACTGCTCTTGGTTTCAGTAAATGGAACAATCTTATAAGTGGATATTTTCTTCCTCCTATTTTCTCTGATTCCACAGATACAAGGTGCTTAATGCCAGTGCCATCCCCGAGGGACAGTTCATTGACAGCAAGAAGGCTTCTGAGAAGCTCCTTGGCTCAATCGATGTGGACCACACCCAGTACAAATTTGGACACACCAAGGTACAAATTCCCCCATTCACTGCATCCCTGGGCTTTGCTCGACCTGACAGTGATGTGCTACAACATTCCCTTTCTCAAGGTGTTCTTCAAAGCTGGGCTGATAGGGCTCCTGGAGGAGATGAGGGATGAGAAGCTGGCCCAGCTCATCACCCGCACCCAGGCCATGTGTAGGGGCTTCCTGGCGAGGGTGGCATACCAGAGAATGGTGGAGCGCAGGTACACCTTTGTCTTCTTCAGTTCAAGTAATTTTTCTCTTGGGAAAGTGCTGACACTCGCCAGACTGAGAATACTCATTGTACTTTTTAATTATGCCTCAGGCATGAATGTCAAACACTGGCCATGGATGAAGCTGTTCTTCAAGATCAAGCCCTTGCTGAAGAGTGCAGAGTCTGAGAAGGAGATGGCCAACATGAAACAAGAGTTTGAGAAAACCAAGGAAGACCTTGCAAAGTCTGAGGCAAAGCGGAAAGAGCTGGAGGAAAAAATGGTTTCTCTACTGAAGGAGAAAAATGACCTGCAGCTCCAAGTGCAGGCTGTGAGTATCACCATTTATTTCCCAGTCAGAAAAGCACCTGCTCATTCTTAACGCTCTGTCTCAGGCAGAAGGCCAGGTGTCCATTATATTAAATATGAAACTTAGCAAGTAGTGTCTTAGAGGAGCGTGGTGAACTCTTGGATAGATAGTAAAAGAAACACAGTGCTTCAAGTGGGTGAAGAAGTTCCTGCTTTTTTGAGGAACATGCCATCTATAGATTTCCACAATACAGTTTTACCTAAACCCCCTACTCCATTAATTATCACAAGTATAAATACTGAGAGATATTTTTTAAAGAATAAAAAACAACAACAACAAAACTTGAGCATTTATAACTGAGAACTTGCATACCTATTTCCCAGGCAGAAAACATGACAACATTTTAAAGCTCTTTGAGTGGATAGGCTAAAAGATAAAGAGGAGAAACTTTCAAATATTATAATCAAACAGAATCTTTGTCTCTCCACCAGGAAGCAGACAGCTTGGCTGATGCTGAGGAAAGGTGTGACCAGCTCATCAAAACCAAAATACAGCTGGAAGCCAAAATTAAGGAAGTGACTGAAAGAGCAGAGGATGAAGAGGAAATTAATGCTGAGCTGACAGCCAAGAAGAGGAAACTGGAGGATGAATGTTCAGAGCTGAAGAAAGATATTGATGACCTTGAGCTAACACTGGCCAAGGTGGAGAAGGAAAAACACGCCACAGAAAACAAGGTATGAGGTAGAACCTGTTATTTGCACTCCAGAAAATGGGTTGAGTGCTATTACAAAACTACTATATCTATTTCCTTGATTTATATTTGTTTCCTTCTTCCTAAAGGTGAAAAACCTGACTGAGGAGATGGCAGGCCTGGATGAGACCATCGCCAAGCTGACCAAAGAGAAGAAAGCCCTCCAAGAGGCCCATCAGCAGACCCTGGATGACCTGCAGGCAGAGGAGGACAAAGTCAATACTCTGACCAAAGCCAAAATCAAGCTGGAACAGCAAGTGGATGATGTAAGCACACAGACACAGAGCAGGAACAGGACAGGTATGGAGCCTGAGCTGGCTGGTAGAGCACTGAAGGTCTTGTTGTGTTCAGCTGGAAGGGTCCCTGGAGCAAGAGAAGAAACTGCGCATGGACCTGGAGAGAGCAAAGAGGAAACTGGAAGGAGACCTGAAGCTGGCCCAGGACAGCATCATGGATTTGGAGAATGACAAGCAGCAGCTGGATGAGAAACTGAAGAAGTAAGTGTGGCTCTGGGGCTCCTGAGTGCTGGACTGCACCACTTGTCTTTTTCCTTTGAGCTCTAACACGGTTCACTTGGCCCAAAGGAAAGACTTTGAAATCAGCCAGATCCAGAGCAAAACTGAGGATGAACAAGCCCTGGGCATGCAACTTCAGAAGAAGATCAAGGAGCTGCAGGCAAGTCTGTGTTCCTTCCCCTCCCTTGCTCAGGCTCAGCTCAGGCAGGAGGAGGGCACGGGTGTGAAGGGTCCCTCCTGTTCTGCAGGCGCGCATTGAGGAGCTGGAGGAGGAAATTGAGGCAGAGCGAACCTCTCGAGCTAAAGCAGAGAAGCATCGGGCTGACCTGTCCAGGGAGCTTGAGGAGATCAGTGAGCGCCTGGAGGAAGCAGGAGGGGCCACAGCAGCTCAGATTGATATGAACAAGAAGCGTGAGGCAGAGTTCCAGAAGATGCGGCGGGACCTGGAAGAGGCCACGCTGCAGCACGAAGCCACGGCTGCCGCCCTGCGCAAGAAGCACGCGGACAGCACCGCTGAGCTGGGGGAGCAGATCGACAACCTGCAACGTGTGAAGCAGAAGCTGGAGAAGGAGAAGAGTGAGATGAAGATGGAGATTGATGACTTGGCCAGCAACATGGAGTCTGTCTCCAAAGCCAAGGTACACAAATATTTTATTGGCTCTTTGACCCAATGGAATACAATGCAGTTCTTGTACCTGGCCTTCTTTAGAGTGTGGATGGTTAACTCATCACTTTCCCTATGCTGAAACACAGGCCAACCTGGAGAAGATGTGCCGCACACTGGAAGATCAGCTCAGTGAGCTTAAGACCAAGGAAGAAGAGCATCTGCGCATGATCAACGACCTCAATGCTCAAAGAGCTCGTCTGCAGACAGAGTCAGGTGAGACACCAACATCTACATGTACGGATCAATAATGTCTCAGAGTTATTGCAAAAATTACTCCAATGGGCACAATGGTCTGTTCAACACACTTTGGGTCATATCTACTGAGAAATGCTTGAAATGGAATTATGAGTTTCACCATGGACTGTGAACCATCTTTTTTAGAGATTTACATCTCCAAATGTTTGCAGTGTCACCATCAATGGCATCAAAACCATTTTGTATCTGCGTATTTTCTCAGGTGAATATTCACGCCAGGTGGACGAAAAGGATGCTTTGGTTTCTCAGCTGTCAAGAGGCAAACAGGCTTTCACCCAACAGATTGAGGAACTCAAGAGGCATCTGGAGGAAGAGATAAAGGTGATTCCTTCTCCCAGAGGTGCTCCAGACACTTATGTCACTATTGAAGCACCCTGATGAGACAGGGAAAAAAATCTCATGTAATTTGGTGCATGTCATCTCATTCTAAATTTTACCTACAGTTTATCCACTATTCTTTTTTTCAGTCCCAGCTTCTTTCCTCATTGAGTGCATGGTTGTCTATTTCCATATAAGCATAATCCAGTGTCCAATTAATATTCAGACAGATTTCCTGGGATATTTCAGTTCCATGACACAATACCCTTGTTTCTGCAGGCCAAGAGCGCCCTGGCCCACGCCCTGCAGTCCGCTCGCCACGACTGTGACTTGCTCCGGGAACAATATGAGGAGGAGCAGGAGGCCAAGGGGGAGCTGCAGAGAGCCCTGTCCAAGGCCAAGGCCAACAGCGAGGTGGCTCAGTGGAGAACCAAATACGAGACAGACGCCATTCAGCGCACGGAGGAGCTCGAGGAGGCCAAGTATGTGGGGAAAGTGAGGAAAGCTAGCAGAGATTAAGAACAGAAATAATTGGAAATCACTGTGACATTGTCAGGAGGAAGTCAGTATTCTGCTTGGGGTGGGGGCATGTCATTCCGATTGGGAATGGCTTTAAAGAACGACAATGGACTCTCAAAGGAGTCACAACAGGAGAATTCCTAGTTTATTGCTTCAGCTCTGTCTTATAGACAGATACGTGGAAAGTACAGAAAGGAAACTCTTATTGGTTAACAAAGTGCTACATCACCATCATTGGTTAGGGGCACTCTGCCCCCCTTGACTGTCTCCTGCAAGGAGAAACAAGAAGCTGCAAAACAACACCTGCAAGGCTGTTTAGTATCTCTGAGAATTGTTTTAATTCCTTCTCATGAATTTCCCAGGCTAGCTTTCAGTCAGGCCTGAGAGCTATGTGGCCTGTAATAACTACAGGCACTCTGGTTCAGATTTAGCATCCATAGGGGCAAAAGGAGAATAGCAAATAAATTCAGTAATTCATGGGGTCTGGGAGAAAAAATCACAGGCAAATGTAGAAGACAGAGACTGGCAGAGAGACACAACATAATATGTAGAAAAATGGAAGAGGAACGTGAACCAGAGACTGTGAAATGGCTAACCATGGTCTTGAGAAAAGCATCACAAAATTGAATTGCTTGCTGACGGTGAGCTGCATTTACCAATGAACTTGTAAGACATCCTGTTACGAAAAGCTAATCGAACACATACGACAACTTCTCCTTTTCTCTTAAAACATGAGATATGTTTAACACAGGAAGAAGCTGGCCCAGCGTCTGCAGGATGCAGAGGAACATGTTGAGGCTGTCAACGCCAAATGTGCCTCCCTGGAAAAGACAAAGCAGAGGCTGCAGAATGAAGTGGAGGACCTGATGATTGATGTGGAGAGATCCAATGCTGCCTGTGCTGCTCTGGATAAGAAGCAGAAGAACTTTGACAAGGTCTTTTGGCCTCCAGCACCAGCACTCTTGGCCAGAGCATGCCCCTGTGATGGCCACAGCCCGACTCACACCCCGTTTCTCTTCAGATCCTGGCAGAATGGAAGCAGAAGTATGAGGAAACACAGGCTGAGCTGGAGGCCTCGCAGAAGGAGTCGCGCTCTCTGAGCACGGAGCTGTTCAAGATGAAGAATGCCTATGAGGAGTCCTTGGACCACCTGGAAACAATGAAGCGGGAGAACAAGAACTTGCAGCGTAAGTCCCTGGCCCTCTGCTCCCCTCACTGGCCTTTCTCACCATCAGCCATGACCACCATTGTTCATGGGTCTGTGCCTGCAGATCTGCAGAGGTGCCTGTCACCTTGGTGGGACAGGATCCTTCCCATTCTGCTCTGTGCCTGACCATGCCATTGATCTTTGTTCCCGCAGAGGAGATTTCCGACCTCACCGAGCAGATTGCGGAGGGAGGGAAGGCGATTCATGAGCTGGAGAAAGTGAAGAAGCAGATTGAGCAGGAGAAATCTGAACTGCAAGCCTCCCTAGAGGAAGCTGAGGTAAAGCCCTCTGCTGTTAATTGACTAGTTACAACACAGTTCAGAGACTTCAAATAACATTTATGTAACTCTATTCATTGAGAATTGATTGGAGGCATAGGAAACAGGGTTTCTTCACACCACTAAAATCATTGAATCCACAGGTATACTTTTTTTCTCCGTTATAGTAAGCTCAGACCACTGGTTATACATTATTCATTAAGTTAACAATTCATGTAGAGTTGTTGACATTGTAACTTTCTTTTAATTTACTGCATTTTACATTTTTCCAGGCCTCCCTTGAACATGAGGAGGGGAAGATCCTGCGCCTGCAGCTTGAGCTCAACCAAGTGAAGTCTGAGATCGACAGGAAGATAGCAGAGAAAGATGAGGAGATTGACCAGATGAAGAGGAACCACCTCAGAATTGTGGACTCCATGCAGAGCACTCTGGATGCTGAGATCAGGAGCAGGAATGAAGCCCTGAGGCTGAAGAAGAAGATGGAGGGAGACCTGAATGAGATGGAGATCCAGCTGAGCCATGCCAATCGCATGGCTGCAGAGGCACAGAAGAACCTGAGAAACACCCAGGCAGTGCTGAAGGTATTGCATTACAGACCAGGTGTTCACTGGTTTCTTAAGCGGCTACAAATATTTCTCTTTTACACTTATATCTTTTCTATATTAATATGAAAATGGAAAATAAGTAAATAGAATATGCCTCCCAATTTGTTGTATCTCTCTTTCCAGGACACCCAGATCCATCTGGATGATGCTCTCAGGACACAGGATGACCTGAAGGAGCAGGTGGCCATGGTGGAGCGCAGAGCAAACCTGCTGCAGGCTGAAGTTGAGGAGCTCCGGGCAGCCCTGGAGCAGACGGAGAGGTCGAGGAAAATGGCTGAGCAGGAGCTTCTGGATGCAAGTGAGAGAGTTCAGCTCCTCCACACTCAGGTAAATTCTAGAATTGAAGACATGTAACACCTACAGCATTTAGAGAATTGAAATTACCAATAGATCTGTTATCCTTTTTACTTGTAATATAACAATTAGTCTTCAGCAGTCTCTCATTGCCATTTTTCAATTATTTGTATTCTTCATATAAAACTGTAACAAAAACACAAATAAAAATAGGTAATTTGATTTTTCTAAAACTGGTATGAAGCAACTGGACAAAAATATATGCTTTTTTCCTTCAACAGAACACCAGCTTGATTAACACCAAGAAGAAGCTGGAAACAGACATTGCCCAAATCCAGGTGAAATGGAGGATACCATCCAGGAAGCCCGCAATGCTGAGGAGAAAGCCAAGAAGGCCATCACAGATGTGAGTTGGGCACTCCTGGCATTGCCAATGATGAATGTAGTCTCCCCAAAATATCTCCAGCCCCAAAATGGCTTTGACCCTTTGCTCTGATCAGGCGGCCATGATGGCAGAAGAGCTGAAGAAGGAGCAGGACACCAGTGCCCACCTGGAGAGGATGAAGAAGAACCTGGACCAGACAGTGAAGGACCTGCAGCTTCGTCTGGAAGAGGCCGAGCAGCTGGCACTGAAGGGAGGGAAGAAGCAGATCCAGAAGCTGGAGGCCAGGGTGTGTAGGGCTGGGGTTGTGCCTGAGTGAGCGTGTCCTTGCAGAGACATTGTCAGGGAAGCTGCAGGGATGGGTTTGTCCTTGCAGGTGCGGGAGCTGGAAGGGGAGGTTGATGCTGAGCAGAAGCGCAGCGCTGAAGCTGTGAAGGGCGTGCGCAAGTACGAGCGGAGGGTGAAGGAACTGACCTACCAGGTAAGGCAGGAGGGCTCCTTGGACTGATGCACCCTTATTTGATCAAACAAAAGATGTTCTCATATACTCCAGGGATAAATGCTATATTGTGGTGTGCAGAAAGCAATAATTTACTCTTCCCACTTTGCCAACACTACAGTCTGAGGAAGACAGGAAGAATATTCTCAGGCTGCAGGATCTGGTGGACAAGCTGCAAATGAAAGTGAAATCCTACAAGAGACAAGCTGAGGAAGCTGTGAGTATTGCTTGGGGAAATAAAAAAGCATTTCTTCCTGTGGGTGTCACACAGGTGTCCCAGAGAGGAATATCAGAAATTTTGAAAATCACCAGCTGAGGAGGGGGACAGAAATGACAAATCAAAGGGGTGACACAGTCCTGGTGAAGCTTGTCCCAGTAGGGTCCTGAAAATGGGAGGATGAGGAGCTCTGTGTGAGGCTGGTGTGTGAGCACTGGTGGGAGGGGGATGGAGAGTTGCAGCCCCATAAGGCTGACTTGCAGCAGGAGTGAAACCCTTGTCCTGTGCTCCTGAGCCCTGACTCCCTTTCCCCACACAGGAGGAGCTGTCCAATGTGAACCTCTCCAAGTTCCGCAAGATCCAGCACGAGCTGGAGGAAGCCGAGGAGCGGGCTGACATTGCAGAGTCACAGGTCAACAAGCTCCGAGTGAAGAGCCGGGAGTTTCACAGCAAGAAAATAGCAGAGGAAGAATGAGGATGTCACAAGGCAGCAAAGTGACCTGAGGGCTACACAAAATGTGAACCCTTTATCCCTCCCTCCTGCAACAAGAGTTTATAAATTTGTCAGTGTCTAAGGGCTAAAGACCGTAGATTTCTTTGCATAAAAAGCAGTAGTTATATTTTAGTTGTGCTGTTATTTAAGTGTTGATTGTGTTCCAACAATTAATATTCAGGAGTAAACTCCTGTATTTTCTGGAGTAAGATTCTGAAACTCCAGTACTCCAGCTACAGTAAGAGTAATAGGCATGAGAACACACAAATTTTTTCACACTGTACCACAGTGTTTCCCAGCAATGGAATTTGTGATTTAAAGTTAGAATAAATAAATATTAAATAAATAATGTCCTTTAGGAAGAGAAATTGTAAACCTATGTTTTACAAGTTTACAAGCATACATGTCAAAAGGAACTGTTTTTATTTTCCAATGCTGGAATTGAGAGCAACTCTGTTAACATGACACCATATAGAAATCTCCAAGTCTGACACCCTGAGGATATAGAGAAGCTCTAAACATGGTGTTTCCACACTGAGAAACAGTGTTTCCCATTTTCCTTTCACAGAAAAGCATGAGCTTTTTTGTATTAGGGAACTGAAAACTGAACCTGTTTTCCTTTTCATTCCACATGGGGTAACACTGCAGAATATAATGCCTGAGCAGGACAAAAATGAGGAAAAGCTGGCCAAGAGGAAGAGGCAGCAAAGACATTTCCCAGCCCCAGCCATTCTCATCAGTCCAGAAGGGCTGTGCAGCCTCAGGAGGTGCTGAATCTGGAGAACACAGAGGTTTTCCTGAACCAGAGCAGAGGTTGTGCCCAGTGGGACATCACAATGACACTCACACTGGAGCTTCCTTAGTCTGGAATAGGTGTTTAGAGGCAAGCTGCACAGCAAGCAGCAGTGCAGCTTCCCAAACCATTCACTAGACCCTGGCACATCAGGTACTGCTGAGGGAACCGTCTACAAACAGATGTGGGAATGGTAAATGAGACTTAGCTTTGACTAAGAGACACTTACTGGTCCCTTAAGGTTCCTGGCTATCTCTACACCTCTACATTTACAGGGAGTACTTCAAAGAGCTGTGAAATGGCTGGGGAAGGGAGCTGGAGATACTGCACAGCCTTTTGCACTGACCACAGCAGTGTGTTAGTAGCAACCAGTGTTCAGGACTGGGAGGTCCTCCTCCCAAACACACTGAGGTTTACACCCGTAGAATCCTTCCATGTTACGACTAAATATGGAAGTAGTTTGCTAGGCAGCAGCTAAATGTATTTAAGGAAAAGATGACACCCTGTGTTGACTCTTGTGTCACTGTAAGTGATGCTCTTCAGAGACATCATCTCTATGTGTGAAGCTGTGAAAACTTCATCAGTGCCAGTGATATCTGGGCAACAAGGAAAAGAAACCTTGGTATCTTTTTAAACTTGCTGACAGACTAGTAAATATCACAACAACTTTGGGGACCGTATTTCAATGCCAAAACTCTCTGTTCCCTTTAGAAAATATCACAATCACCCTCCAAAATGAACAAACTGCTCTGGCTGTGGAACAATCAGGATGCACTGGAAGCACCTGAAACTGTTGGGGCTCTCTTACCTGTAAGAAATTATGGCCTGAGGGTTTGTTCCTAAATGCTCAACTGATGAAAGGTAACATTGCAAGTTCCTGAAGAGACAACACCTGGGGCCAGAATTCCAACTGCACAGGTGGGAGAGGGAGAGAAATCACACACCTGGCACTGTGCTGACCTGGCCTTGCCATTGGCCATCCTGGAAAGCATGGCTGGAGACTTTTTGGAATCAGAGGGGCATATTAAAGGGGTGAGTAAGGAAAACCAATTTCTCCTCACTTCTGATTTGCTGCTTTGCCTGGAGGACAGGAGTCATTTTGCATCAACACACTATTTCTGGAGTCAGGCTGCTTGTGATCTGAAATGTGCTGATGCACAGGTAACTGATCTTGAAGGAGCATGGGCCCATAACTGGCTGAAAGAAACAACTCTCAGAGAAGGTTTAAAATAGATGCAGCTGATGAGCTCCACTAGAGCTGCTGCCCCATGTGGCCTGTGGAGTTCTCTGACCTTCAACAGCTTGGGCATGGACAACTGTGTCTCCTGGGCACAAAAGCATCAGCACTTTACGTGACACGAAGACATGGAGAAAGTATTTCTGACTTGAAGGCACAGGTTTCTCACAGAGGATTCTTGCCAACAATTCAGCTTTCCAGCTCTCCAAGCACTAATTGTCTGTGCCCTCAGCCCACAGCAACACTGCCTTGACCAGAAAGGGCTTTCTTCCCCACTGGCAGAAAATATGGGGGCCAGGGATTGAGGGGCAGAAAGGGAGAGAGAAGCAAAGGAGGTAGACGGAGCAGGAGAGGGAGAGCAGAGGACAAGTAGATTCAGTACATACTGTAAGAAAGAAATGGAGAAAGAGAGTGAAACACAGAAAATGACAGAGCAAAAAGAGGGAGGAAGATACTGAGAAAGATGAGAAAGAAAGCAATATTGAGAAAAAGATACTGAGATGGGGAGCAACAAAATTCATGAAGAGGAGGGGAGAAAGAGACAGAAAATAGAGTTTGAATGAAGGAAGAGAAAGGGAGAGGAAGAGAGAAAACAATTCATCATCATTTGGGTGTTGGTACGTGACACTGGACTTAACTCTGATGCTTTTGATCACTGCTCTTGTGAACCCCCTGTACCCCAACCATATCATTCCAAATACCCTACAATGGGTACCTTGCTAAGAAGACTAAGAGAGTGCCTTGAGAAACAAATCTGTTCTCTGAATCTCTGCTGTGTCCTGGTACTGCAGGAGGGGCAGGCAGCTTGTGTGGTGCCTCCTCACATCCCAAGGCCTTGTGAGCAGTGATGTTAAAAGAAAAGGCTGAAAATACTGAAGTGTGGCAGCTCGGGAAAGCAAAAGTGCTCGTGGGGACTGGGAAGGATGAAGAGAATGTGAGACACTCATTGGAGAGAGGAGAGAATGGGTTCACAATGTGGGCTTGGCATGACACCTGACTAGTTTGCAAGCTGGTAATACCTCTAGACACAGAGTCTAAAAGTGATGGTGTTCATGGCAGACAGTTATGTCTGTGCACAGAGTATTAGAACTTAAGCTAGCCAGGAAGTTTTCTCATCCTTAAATGCTCTTGGAAACGTCCAGAATTTCCTCCTCTTTTGGTATTCTAAAGCACTTTTTAATGCTTGTCCCATCCTGGATGATACCTGTCTTGGCTAGCCAAAAATCTGTCCTTAATGAAGAATGGAATATGTCCATGCCTCCACATTGAATACAGAACTACTGAAATCAAACAAGGAGATGCTTAGAATTAACACAGAGAAAAACCTGGTTTTCCTAGGAGTGATTTGAGATTGTGAATAAGCCCTTGTGGGAGTGAGGGGAAAACAGGCATGAAAAACATAATATAGCATAACCTACAATAGTTCTGTGTGTAACTGCCTGAACCTTACTCTCTAGCAGGAGGTGTTAAAACTGGTTTTTAGGTCATAAGTTACATGTGACAATTCTTAAGAAGAGTACAGCCACATCTCAGACAAGAATAATATGTATATTTCTTCAAATCATGACATTCAAAAGCAAGGTTATCAAAAACAGATGCCTTTATGGCACCTATGGTACACTATTTTAGTAACCCTGATTTCCTTTTGATCCAGATCTACCTTCGACCCCTTCTATCACCTGCTGCCTTTCTTCTTCACTGTTCCACCCAGACACCACCCAGCCTGCTCACCCCACACACCTGTTCTGTAACAGGAGCTCCTCAGCTGCTTTGCTGAGTGATGGAAAGGGCACCCTGAAGGTCATGTCCTCATCCAGGACCCAATCTCCAGATCTTTTCTCTGGATGCTTCCTGGAAAGACAGGAGGAGCCTAAGAAACTGTGCAACTTTGATACTCACTCAGCACCTGCCCAGGTGTTATATTTTTACCTTCTGCTCCACTTCACAGTTAAGTGATGCTGAGATATCTTTGAAGTTGCAGTTTCTCTCTTCCTTCTCTCTCTTCTGAAATACAGAAATGTGAAATATTATATATGTGATAGATTATACTATACCATTAAGCTATACCATAAATGCATTGAAAAAATTAATCTTGAAGCAGTCTCAAGAGAGTACAATTAGGAGACAGAAGCATCTTCACAGTCCCTCCATCCTTTTGATGCATGGGACAGGGCAGTCTTCACAAGTAAGTTCTAGCCCCAGAAATACTAGCTTACTTTTGCCATGGCTAAAATTTCCCTGTACCTATTCTGTATCTCTCCCCCTGAATATTTTTAAGATTCTGGGGGTTCTGTTCATTAACCTGTTTAACTCAAAAAACAATTAACCCTTCCAGTCTTACCTCATATGGAATTCTTGAGCTGCATAGCACTACGACACCACTTTGGGCATGACACTTCCTGCAGGGAAGCATGCATTTCACCAAATCCATGCACTTCATTAGTCAACAGGAGAAAGGGATGTAAGATCGAGGGAAGTGTGTCCTACCATCTCCAGAGCCCAGTGCCCAGCTGCATCTTAATAGTGGGAAGTGTTGGGATGAGAAGCCTTGCTCTGAATGATCAGTGTTTCAGCAATTCTGTTTCTTTGGTGCTAACATTCCTGGCAGCTCTCGTTTTACACAGAGGGCAGCAGAAATGCTGCTGCAGCAGGAGCTGAGCATTCCCTGTCAGAGGGCTCATCAGGCGTCCACAGAGCACACTGATGCCTCCAGCATGCCCTGTCATACAGAGAGGATGGCTGACAACAGCACAGGCAAGCTGAAAATCCCATGGGGAATGTTTTTCAAATAGTGTTGCACTGAATAATCCACAGATTTATAAGATCTGACCACAGTTTTTCCCTTCTTTTCTTTCTTTTTTTTTTTGTTCTCTTTCTGGAGATCTCGATAGTGTTCATTACTTGTGAATCACAGTTTAGTCTTTTGTCTGACAAGATTCACATCTGGCACAGCTGTGTGTAAAGAAGAAAAAATACTGTTCATAGCAGGGGAATACCATTGTTTCTGTGATAAGATTAGCAATGGCAGCCTGAAGGCATAATTGTTCTATTGGTGACCATTCAGAGGCATGCTGTGATAGCAACAGTGCTGCACCAAGAATAATTTTATCAATGTGATTA